GTCCTGGGGGGTGAGCCTGAGGGGCAGGGACCAGCCTCCCTGGTGGAAGAGTCTGCCCCAGGCCAACTCTGGTGTTTCTGTTTCTTTGGGAAGTTCAGAGAGGCACACAGAGCTCCCACCTGGTGGTTCTCTCCCCAGATGCTTGCAGAGGTCGGCCCCAGCCAGTGCCGGGAGCCAGGAACTCACCCAGGTTTCCTAAGATGATCTGGGTGGCAGGGGCCCAATTATTGGAGCTGTCAGCACTGCCTCTCGGTGTGCATTAGCAGGCAACTCGAGTCAGGAGCCAGAGCTGGGTGTTGAACCCTGGCACTCTGCTACGGAACACGGCACCTTAGCTGCTCGGCTAAGCACCTGCCCCCTGTGTTGTAAGGAGCTCTGCAGGCACCTCTGATGCACGCTCACTGTGCTTGATTCCCACTGTGCTGAACGCTGAGCCGTCTGGTCCTGGAAAGCGCGTCTTGGCTACTCAGCAGGACCTAGGGTTTGGACATTATTGGGGGACCCCCCGAGGGCAGAGTGGACCTCCAGTCCTTGCCAACACACCCAGCCTCAGCAGGCTCCAGCTCTGTCTGCTTCCTGTGTGCACACCCGGGCACTGGTGCTGTGTGGCCCCTCGCTGCGCATGGTTCAGTAGTGCTCTCTGGGTAAGCTGGGAGCTCACCTGTAGGACCTCCCTCTCCAGGATCAGAACACTGCACTGTTGACTATCCAGGGTGGTTGTTCACGGTGGGACAGAAGTCGGAGCCAGACGGTGAGACGTGTGTGGGCCTGACTGTCCCGCCCTCGACTCTGGAGACCTGGAACTGGAGGTTTATCCCGTTGTGTCTCCAGCCCTCCAAGCCCGGGCCATCAGGGTGGACCCCATTCCAGCCAGAGGCCTTTCCCATGGGGTCTAATCAGATTTTCATGTTGCAAGAATTCTCTGTTTACTCAGAGCGCAGCAGGTGCCTGATTTGCAGTGGGCTGCAAAGGTCTGACCACACAAGCAGGGCGGACGCCCTTGGAGCCTCCTGCTGCGGTCTCCTGCCTCTACCTCTGCTTCGCCTCCCTAGTGGGGACGGACATTGCGGGGTTGAAGTGGTTCGTTCATCTCTCATCAGTTTTGCCAATAAAAGCCTCCTTGCCTGATTCTCCTGAGCTCATTTCTTGGATAAAACGGGGATCATCTTGACACCGAGATGCCTTGTCAAGATTAAATAAGATAATGCAGGCTAAGCTCCCGAACAGTCAGCAGCTGTCTGTTGTCTTCCCCTCCGTGTTACTCTTTTTTATTTATTTGAAAGACAGTATGGCCAGGTGGGAGGAGGGGGATTTCCCCTGCCCAAATGGCCACAACAGCACAGCAGCTGGGGCTGAGCCAGGCAGAGGCCAGGAGCCTGGAGCCCCAGCTGCGTCTCCCATGCGGGTGGCGGGTTCCACTGCTTTCCCAGGCGCGTCATCAGGAGCTGGATCTGCAGCATAGCGGAGGGACTGGAACCAGCAGTCTGATACGAGATGCTGGCATTGCAAGCAGCAGCTTAACCCATTGTGCCAAAAACGCCGGCCCTGTTTGTCACTCCTTGTGTCACAAATTTAGGTTACTCAGAAACCACTGCTCCATTGGTTGGAGAATGCTGGAGGCAGGGCACACCCCAGTCCCAGCCACAGCCGTAGTGATGCCGGTGGGTCAGGGTAGGGACGCCGAGTCTAGAACCGCAGACTCCCACTTCCTGAGGCCCTGAGTCCCGGGCAGCCTGACCCCCGGACCTGCTGCCTCTGTGTTTCCCAGCGGGAAGCGTCAGCCGCACTGCTGCACACTCACACTCTTCTCTCCTTGGCATGCTGGTGGGCTTCTGAACACTGCCTGCCGGTTTTGAACTAGATTTTCTCGTTACCTTAAATCTGCACAGCTCTTGATCATCTTCAGAACTTGTCATGCACGTGCTGTTGCCCTCACAGCCCTGTGAGTTAACTCAGGACTGTCCCTACTGTTCTGTGAGGCCGCGGTATGCCAGGGCCAGGCTTCCTGATTGTCTAGCACCCTTCCCACAGAGCCGCCAGGTCCCTGGGGTCCTGGGGTGGGCGGGGAGCAGGTGTGTAGGAAATCCTGTACCATCCCACTGGTTTCTTCCCCGTGCCCTGTGGGTTCTGGGTACAGAGGAGCCTTTGCTTCTACCCGGGCATGTGGCTGGATCGCGTCAGAATCATAACGTGTCTGACCACGAGAGCCAGAGGCCTGACGCACGTGGTGCAGCCCCTCTGTCTCCTTGCCTTTGCTCTGTCTGCACACCCCCGTCGAACGTCCGTGAGGACGAGAAGGGTGGTGCTGCTCGGCTGCTGGGTCCAGCTTTCGGTTCTGGTCTCAGGAGGGAGGTGCTGGGGGGGGGGTGTGTGTGGCAGGGTCTCTGTTGATATCCTGTGAGTACGAGTTCTCAATGCTTGGGAACTGACCCTGGCTTGACAGAGCACGTGGCTGTGCAGTCGTCTGGCTGTCCAGCCCAGAGAGCCGCCTGACCAAGCACTTTCTGCCCTCAGATGGCGTGCTACTCCCTCCTTTCCTTAATTCCCCCAAACAAGGAACAGGGAGTAGGGCTGTCTTGGGGGTTCCCCAGACCCCTTCGCAGACACCGTGAGAAACCAGCCCTGCAGACGCGGGAACTGTAGAGAGCAACCAAGTAGAACTGGCTGAAGACTCAGGGCAGCTGGGTTCCCGGGGCCCCGCACCAGCACCGTGCAGCACTTGCAGGTGTCAGTATGCTGTCCTTGATGGCTGCAGGTGGTGAAGGTGGGAACCAGGAAATACCAGTGACCTTGCTAGCTTTGTGTCCAAGCAGTGACTTCAGTTCTGTGTACCTCAGTGTCCTTGTTTATTAATGGGGAGCTAACAGTACCCACCCCCTGTTCCTTGTGAAGATCAGATGCTTAGAGAACATGTCAAAGTGCTTAGGGAAATTCTTAGTGAGCTGCCGGAATCCTGAATGAGCACCAGTTCCAGTCCCGGCTGCTCCACTTCCAGTCCAGCTCCCTGCCGATGAGCGTGGGAAAGCAGCAAAGGGTGGCCCAGGTGCTTGGGCCCCTGCCACTCATGTGGGAGACCTGGCTTCCAGGCTCCTCTGTTCAGCCTGGCCCCATTGAGGCCATCTGAGGAGTGAACCAGTGGATAGAAGATAATATCTCTGTTTCTGTCCCCCCTCCAACTGCCTTCCAAATAAATAAATAAGTAAATAAATAATCTTTCTTAAAAAAGAAAAAAGTGGGGATTGGCGCTGTGGTCTAGTAAGTTACGCCTCGTCCTGCAGTGCCAGCATCCCATATGGGTACCGGTTTGAGTCCAAGCTGCTCTGCTTCTGATCCAGCTCCCTGCTGTGGCCTGGGAAAGCAGCAGAAGATGGCCCAAGTCCTTGGGCCCCTGCACCTATGTGGGAGACCCAGAAGAAACTCCTGGCTCCTGGCTTCGGATCAGCCCAGCTCTGGCTCTTGTGGCTGTCTGGGGTGTGAACCAGAGGATTGGAAGACCTATCTCTGTCTGTCTGTCTGTTTGTCTCTCTCTCTCTGTAACTGCCTCTCAAGTAAATAAATCTTTAAATAAAAAAAAAAAAAGGAAGAAATGCTTCAAGTGTAAAGTGAGGGCCTTGTCAGTGTGAACCATTATTATGTGAGTCTGTGCTGTTGGGTGGGAAGCCCTCAGCCCTGTGGCGCAGGGTGGGCCCTGCTTGCAGTGCCACCACCCCATGTCAGAGTGCAGTTTGTGTCCTGGCTGCTTCACCTGTGATCCAGCGCTTGCTAATGCGTATGGGAAAGCAGCAGATGGTGCTTCAAGTTCAAGTACTTGGCAGACCCAGATGGAGTGCCAAGGCTCCTGGCTTCCACCTGGTCTAGCCCTGGCCATTGCAGCCGTTTGGGGAGTGATCGGCAGATGGAAGCTCTCTCCTCTGTCTTTCTCGATCTCCCTCCCTCTACCTCCCCTCCCCCCACTCTGCCTATTGAGTAAATTCCTTTTTTCTTTTTTTGTTTCAAAGCTAATTACATCAGTGTTGGCTGCAGCCATCGTTGTCTTCATTGTATTTCAGACCGTGAACTTTAGATGTTAAAGACTTTGAAAATAAGAATTTTTTTTTTTTTTTGACAGGCAGAGTGGACAGTGAGAGAGAGAGACAGAGAGAAAGGTCTTCCTTTGCCATTGGTTCACCCTCCAATGGCCGCTGCGGCCAGCGCACTGCGCTGATCCAATGGCAGGAGCCAGGTGCTTCTCCTGGTCTCCCACAGGGTGCAGGGCCCAAGCACTTGGGCCATCCTCCACTGCACTCCCTGGCCACAGCAGAGAGCTGGCCTGGAAGAGAGGCAACCGGGACAGAATCCGGCGCTCTGACTGGGACTAGAACCCGGTGTGCCGGCGCCGCAAGGTGGAGGATTAGCCTAGTGAGCCATGGCAATGGCCTAAGACTCATGTTTTAAATCAGGAAATTGTTTTAAGTAAGTCTCCTCCCCCCCACCCCCACCCCGGGGTGGCAGCGCCCGGAAGAGGCAAGAGTGAGTGGGCTAGGGTCTGGTGTCGAGGCTGGCACGCCCTTGGAGAGGTCGGAGAGAGAAGCGTGCTAATGTTGCCGACCGCTGAGGTGCTTGGTGTCTTGACTTTATCCATCTCCACTCACGTAGCTCATTGCTGAAGTATTCCAAGTTGCTGTGAAGTGGTAGACGGGCGGGCCAATAGTATTCTAGAATTTTTCTCCGTGTCACTGTTGCCGTGCTGGGAAGCAAGGTGTCAGTCTGGCGTTGGTGCGGGACATGGTACAGATGGGGCAGTCTTCACCCTTAGCGTCATGGCTGCCTGCCCCATGTGGGATCGTCTCCATTCTGTCAGTACCTGAGGATAGGACCCGTCAGTGTTCTTCTGTGAAAGGAGAGTTTCAGCTGAGGGCTCAGGAGGGAGAGCCACACGGCCTCGTCCGCCTGCCTGCTGGTCTCAGCAAGGTCTGGCTGCCGGTCCCCCTTGGTGTTCACCTCCGTCTTTCTCTTTGCAGCGACTTAGCTCTGAGGAACTGTTACCTTACCTCTGACTTAAATGTGAAAGTGGGAGACTATGGAATAGGCTTCAGCAGGTACAAGGTAAGCCAGAGGTGTCTGTTCTGTTCCGCGTGGATCTGGGTCTCTGTCATGCAGGTTCCAGTAAAGTGTGCTGTCCTCCGTTTTCGGTGACGCCGCCCAGGGTGGGCTTTCTGCGGGCATCTGCTGCCAGCACTGGCTTCCGGGGGCTGCCTGTGCACCTCGAGGCTTTGTTCCCAAGCGCTTGTCACAGCTTTCTGAATGCGATTGTACAGAATGCGATGAATGGTGCATAGTGAATCTCAGAGTGAATGTAAAGCAACAATAATTGTGATCTGTGTAATATAACAGACACCTCCTAGAAGTGTTTCTCTGTTACCTGGTAAGTAAAGTTGTGGCTCAGAATCAGTAAGCTTTGTCCTAAGTAGATCCCCAGAGAGTGAGTGAGGAGGCAGGTGTGCTTTTCACCTGCGTGTGTGTGTGTTGGGGGGGTTGCCCGGTGGAACCAGGTGCCTGATGTGGGGCCCAGTGGGTGCCCCAGCCCCGTGCTGCCCTGGGGTCAGCTGCTCACCCTCCTGTTTCATCTGTTCTGTCCTGTGGGCGGATGCTTTTTTTTTTTTTTTTTTGACAGGCAGAGTGGACAGTGAGAGAGACAGAGAGAAAGGTCTTCCTTTGCCGTTGGTTCACCCTCCAATGGCCGCCGCGGCCGGCGCACCACGCTGATCCGATGGCAGGAGCCAGGAGCCAGGTGCTTTTCCTGGTCTCCCATGGGGTGCAGGGCCCAAGCACCTGGGCCATCCTCCACTGCACTCCCTGGCCACAGCAGAGGGCTGGCCTGGAAGAGGGGCAACCGGGACAGAATCCGGCGCCCCGACCGGGACTAGAACCTGGTGTGCCGGCGCCGCTAGGCAGAGGATTAGCCTAGTGAGCCGCGGCGCCGGTGGCGGATGCTTTTTTAATAACACTGTGCAGACGTCCATCATGGCTCCACCACCTTGGGTGCTCCTCGGACCCCAGAGTGAAGCACTCGCTGGCATGATGTCACATAGTGACTGGCAGGCGGGGGCCCTGCGCTCTCCTCCCTCCCCTGCCCCTGCTCCTCTGGCACCGCAGGGCAGGCCCGGTGTGTTCTGAAAGATGTTTTGCTCGGAGGTTGTGCTGGGTGCCCCTGCTCCCCGTTTCTTCCTGTTCCTGGAAGGAAGGGCACCTGTGGCTCCCACAGCGGGCCAGGAAGCCCCGGAGGCTTCAGAGAAACTGCCCGCCCCCGCTTCTGCCCGGGGAAGTCACTCTGGAGGCCCGCTCTGTTTCCCGCTGTGCGTTGTGAGTTAGGCGTGCGTTTTCTGAGAATGCCCTGGCATTGGATCATGGAGCTCACTGCAGGTGCGGCTGTGCTCTCCGCCCACACAGGAGGACTACATCGAGACAGACGACAAGAAAATGCTGCCCCTGCGCTGGACGGCTCCAGAACTGGTCACCAGATTTCAAGACAGGGTCCTGATGGCAGACCACACCAAATACAGCAATATCTGGTAGGTGCGGGCTGCGCTGCAGGGGCCTGCCCTCCCCGCCTTGGGTAAGGGACAGTGACCCCCCCCCCGGGTGCCGGAGCACCGGCGGAGCAGCTGACAGTGTGATGGATGGTGTACGGCCATGTCACACCTAATTATACCTCACCCATTTCCCTGGCGGAAGCAGGAGTGGAGTCTGTCTCTTATTCTGTGCCTCCCACTGGGCCTGACACATAAAAGATACTTATTAGACATTTACTGGAGTGAGGGGAAGTGGGCAGGGTGTGGGCCATTATGTAATACTGTGGTTTGTGGGATTTAGTTCCATGGAAGCTAAAAAGATAAGTCTACATCTTTTGACTAGTGGTTTCTGTCACAGCTTTCTTAATTTGTAGCTGCATTTTTTGGCAGAGTTCTTTGATGCTTTCTTTTTCTACTCTTCCTTCTTTTGATGGTTCCTAAATCCGGGTTCAAAGACAGCACCAGGTAACGTGCTTTTTTCTCTTCGTTTGGGAGCTGTGTGTCCTATTCCCGTACTTTAATTGGTTTCCCTGGAATTCCCAGTGTGCCTGGGCCTCCCTCACGTCTAATCTTAGTTTGTGTCTTGACCCTCTTTCTGCGCAGTGCGGGAGACTTAGCCTGCTGCACCCCAGCTGTGCACCCACATGCTCGGGCACGCACAGCCAGTCGTGCTGCCATGCTCTGAGGTGTTAGTGCTTTCTCACATCCCTGTGTGACCGGATTCGTGCAGAGTGGGACCGCCTTGCGCTTCCTGCGTTTCGCTTTGTACATCTTGGCCCTTCCCCTCGGGATGCCTCTCCCGATCCTGACCCGTGCTGCAGGGCGCCCCGGCTGCCTTCCTAGGCCTGCGCGTGGCTCTGTCCCCTCATCCCGGAAGTCTGCCCTCGGCACGAGGGAGACGCCTTCCTCTCTTTGCTGGTTTTGCCAGGTCGGCTTTCCTTCCTTCCACCAGAGCTGTTGGAAAGACCTGTGGCTCTTCCCCTCCAGCTGCTTTTCAGACCTTTATTTGTGTTGGGGGGTGCTTTCCTCTGATGTGTGTGGGTGTGGATTTGTGGTTTCTTTGCTTAGGATTTCTTAGGAGCCTCAAATCTGTGGTTCTGGAAGCTTCCTTGCCCATATCCTTTAAATACTGCCTCTGTCCCATCGTCCCTCCTGTCAGTGTGCAGGGAGACAGGGCTGAAGCTGCATCTTCTGTCTCTATCTCATCCCCTCCTTTTTTTTTTTTTTTTTTTTAAGATTTTTTTTTTTTTAATTTATTTTAAAGGCAGAGTTACAGAGAGGCAGAAGCAGAGAGAGTGTTCTTCTATCCACTGGTTCACTCCCCAGGTGGCCGTAACGGCTGGAGCTGCGCTGATCCAAAACCAGGAGCCAGGAGCTTCTTCTGGGTTTCCCACGTGGGTGCAGGGGCCCAAGGACTTGGGCCATCTTCTACTGCTTTCTCAGGCCATAGCAGAGATTTGGATCAGAAGTGGAGCAGCCTGGTCTCGAACCGGTGCCCATATGCGATGCCAGCCCTGCAGGCGGTGGCTTTACCTGCTGCGCTACAGTGCCCACCCCGTCCCTCCCCTCTGTGTCGTCTCCATGCCTCTCTCTGCCACATTGTCCGTGCGGGCGGTGGTGCAGTGCCTCAGCCGCTGATTCTGCCCCAGCTGTAAAAGAACTCTCTTCAGCTGTGTCGATTGTCGTTCAGTCTCTAATTAAGCTTTGTATCTATGTTACTACTTTTTTTTCAGTCTTTTATCCTTGGATTATGATCTGTGTCTAATAATTCCCGTCAGCGACATCTCAGTCGGGCTGGTCCTTGATGGGGCCTCGCGTCCTCGGGGACTTTGTTTTGGTGGGAATTCTTGGAGCTGTAGCGTGGAGGTGGATTCTGCAGAGAGGACCTGCCTTGCCCCTTCTGGGCACAGCGCTGGGCTAGCCGTTCCCCAGCCAGATGGAGGGAGCTGGGGCTGCAAACCCAGTGAGGGCAGCTGTCTGTGGTCCCCTCCTCCCCAGCACGCACACGCGCACATGCACACACGCACACATGCACACACGGAGCTGGGGCTGCAAACCCAGTGAGGGCAGCTGTCTGTGGTCCCCTCCTCCCCAACACGCACACGCGCACATGCACACACGCACACACGCACACACGGAGCTGGGGCTGCAAACCCCGTGAGGGCAGCTGTCTGTGGTCCCCTCCTCCCCAACACGCACACGCGCACATGCACACACATGCACACACGGAGCTGGGGCTGCAAACCCAGTGAGGGCAGCTGTCTGTGGTCCCCTCCTCCCCAACACGCACACGCTCACACACACACGCACACATGCACACACGGAGCTGGGGCTGCAAACCCAGTGAGGGCAGCTGTCTGTGGTCCCCTCCTCCCCAACATGCACACGCGCACATGCACACACGCACACATGCACACACGGAGCTGGGGCTGCAAACCCAGTGAGGGCAGCTGTCTGTGGTCCCCACCTCCCCAGCGCGCACACGCACACACGCACACACGGAACTGGGGCTGCAAACCCAGTGAGGGCAGCTGTGTCTGTGGTCCCCACCTCCCCAGCACGCACACACGGAACTGGGGCTGCAAACCCAGTGAGGGCAGCTGTGTCTGTGGTCCCCTCCTCCCCAGCACGCACACACACACATGCACACACGGAGCTGGGGCTGCAAACCCAGTGAGGGCAGCTGTGTCTGTGGTCCCCTCCTCCCCAACACGCACACACACGCACACTCCCCAACACTCACGTGCACACACACATGCACACACATGCACACAGAGAGCTGGGGCTGCAAAGCTGGTGAGGACAGCTGTGTCTGTGGTCCCCTCCTCCCCAACACACACGCGCACATGCACACACACACACGGAGCTGGGGCTGCAAACCCAGTGAGGGCAGCTGTGACTGTGGTCCCCTCTTCCCCATCACACACACTCACACACACACACACACACACCCTCAGGTGTATGTTCACTTGCTCCCTCGCTCCCTAAGGAAGCAGGGGCAGGTTTATTTCCCCCTTTGGCAGGCGCAGGGCTTTGTCCTGTCAAACCCTGTCACCTCCCTCAAACCTGGGTAGCCACAGCCACAGAGGCCCAGCCCTAAGTTGGGGGGTTTCAGTTCTGCCTGGCTCTGTGAGTTGTGGGTGCAGTCCTGGCAACTCCCCACGCCCATCCACTCTCTCGATGCCTTTGATGCGTCACCTGGAGGCAGATGGTGGTGCTGTTGGCCTGAAAACGTGGCCTGCGATGCCAGAGGCAGAGCTGCCCTGGTTTCCGAGGCTGGAGTGATTGCCATCGCCCTGCCTCATGCCAGAGTCTGGGGGACAGGAGTAACCACTGCAGGACATCTTTCCTCCGGGGGGTGGGGGGGGGAGGGGTGCGGGAGATAAGTGACGGGACAAGGTGGAGGGAGATGCTCTCCGGAGATTCCAAAAGGTGGCAGGCCTGGGAGCGGGGGAGCTGTGTTCCCTTTTCTCCTGAGAGGTGGTGACCGGGGGAGGGACTTGGTTTGTGAATGGGCTGTGTTGGGAGAGGGAAATTGAAGTGGGTGGAGTTCTTTGCCCAAGATTGAGCAGGGCAAGGTGGGATTACACTGGTTTTTGCAATCGGTCCTGCGGCTTTTACCGTCCACTGCCCAGGGCCTCTGACAGGGCCTTAAGCTCCTGGAGGAGGCCGTCGTCTGCCCGTGCAGGCCCTATCGGGAGAGTGTTCTCACTCTCGGAGCTGGGCAGAGATTGGGCCAGTCCAGAACCGCGCACAGCCTCCACGCTGACCCTGCCACTCACCGACCTCTCGTTGTGGGAGCAGTGTCAGGTGCGCTCAGCTGCGCAGCCGCACTCCCTGCTAAGTCCTGCTCAGAGTCGCATCAACCACCAGTGCCCGCCCCTGGGGGTGGCTTCGTCCACCTGGGGTCCTCAGGGCAGATTTTGGGTGCCAGTGTGCTGCTTGAAGCTTCCCAGGGCACCAGGAACCGGCTGGTCTGGGAACATCCCAGGATTCGACACCGGGAAGGAAGTGCAGAGACCAGAGAGGACCGGCCCGGTGGGCCTGAGCAGCAGAGGAGGTTTCCCTGGAGCCGGAGCACCGGGCCGCTTCTCGCTGTGGTGGCGGCGAAGCCCCAGGATGCCTGGGCGTGGTCGGGGCAGCAGCTGGTGGGTGTCACGGGGAGGAGATTTTTGTGCACCTGTAAGATTTATTTTAGATACCATATGGCATTTACTGCTGTTGTCAATGGAAATTTTTTTCTAGCACAAAACTCAGATTTTAGGATATTGATTTTGTCTTTTTTTTTTTTTTTTTAGATTTATTTATTTGAAAGAGTTACAGGGAGAGAGGGAGAAAAGCCCAGAGAATGATGAGCATCCATCCCCTGGTTTACTGTCCCAGTCACTACGACGGCCAGGGCTGGGCCGAGTGGAAGCCAGGACCAGGAGCTCCATTCGGGTCTCCCACATGGTTGCAGAGGCCCAAGCACGTGGGTCATCATCTTCTGCTGCTTTCTCAGGTGCATTAGCAGGGAGCAGAAATGGAAGTGGAGCAGCTGGGACATGAACCAGCATCCGTGCTGGGTCCCAGCCTAGCAGGCAGCAGCTTAACTTGTTACGCCACAGTGCCAGCCCCTGTTTTGTCAAACTTGAAACATCCTGATGGGGGCAGTGCTGTGGCGCAGTGGGTTAAAGCCCTGGCCTGCAGCCCCTGTGTCCTAGTCCCAGATGTTCCACTTCTGATGCAGCTCCCTGCTAATGCTCCTGGGAAAGCAGTAGAAGATGCCCAAGTCCTTGGGCCCTGCACCCAAGTGGAAAACCCAGAAGAAGCTCCTGGCTTCTGGCTTCAGATCAGCTCAGCTCCGGAGGTTGTGGCCATTTGGAGAGTGAGCCAGCAGATGGAAACCTCCCTGTCTATCTGTCTGTCTCTCTCTCTCTCTACCTCTACTCTGTCTTTCAAATATATAAAAAATAAGTCCTTAAAAAAATATATACCCTGATGGTCTTTCAAATAATTTGAGTCTTAGAAGTTGGCAGTGACAGTACCACGTCCCTGTAAGCGTGCCTGTTGTCTGTTCTGCATGATCTTGTGCTGGCCAGAACTGTTAGCACACAGGAGGCTGGGCCTTCTCGTCTCTCATTTAACAGAAACGGCTCTCTTTCTTTGCTGTTCGCTGGGATCTTATTAATAATGACCTCTCAGTGCACACCTTGTCCTTACACTGCCGCCAGCACAGGGTGTGGAAAACCTGAGCCGTGAAGGGAGGGAGAGCTCATGGCTTCCTCTTCTCCACAGGTCCCTGGGCGTGACACTCTGGGAGCTTTTGGATGGCGCCGCCCAGCCCTACGCCAGCCTGTCCAACATGGACGTCCTCCACCAGGTCATCCGGGAGCGGCACGAGAGGCTCCCCAAGCCGCGGCTGGAGCAGCCCCACTCCGACAGATGGTGCGTGGCTGTGCCCCTGCCCCCTTCCCCATGGGTGTCACTCCTGTGTTTCCTGTTTGTAAACAGAAATGCTACAAAAGCAATCGTCTGTACATTATGCAGAGCAGATCTAAGAATGAGCATGTGTTATTGGAATTTATTACTGTTTTTAAAGACTCATGTATTTGAAAGGCAGAGTTACATAGAGAGGGGGAGAGAGAGATCTTCCATCTGCTGGCTCACTCCCCAAATGGCCGTAACCACTGGGGCTGGGCCAGGCCAAAGCCAGGAGCCTGGAACTCCATCCAGGTCTCCCACGTGACTGCCAGGGGCCCAGATACTGTGCCATCTGCTGCTTTCCCAGCGCATTGGCAGGCAGCTGAACTGGAAGTGGAGCAGCTTGGACCTGAACCAGCGCTTGTACAGGTGCTGTTGTCACAGGTGGTGGCTTAGTGTGCTGCAGCACAATGCTGGCTCCAGAATTCAGTATTTTTGAAAAATACTGTCAGCGCTGTGGTGTAGTAGGTTCAGCCTCTGCCTGTGGCACCAACATCCCATATGGGCGCTGGTTCAAATCCCCATTTCCCCACTTCCAATCCAGCTCCCTGCTAATGTACTGGGAAAGCAGCTGAAGATGGCTCAGGTGCCTGGGCCCCTGCACCTGCATGGGAGACCTGGAAGAGGTGCCAAGCTTCTGGCTCCTGGCTTTGGATGGACCTAACTCTGGCCATTGCAGTCACTTGGGGAGTGAACCAGCAGATGGAAGACCTCCCTCTTTGTGTCTCCCTCTCTGTAACTCTGCCTCTCAAATAAATGAATAAACCTTTAAAAAAAGAAAAGAAAAATACTTACGACCAACAAGATTCATGTACTGCACCCAATCAAGAAGTTTCGGTCTGAGCTACTTAGAGATGGCAGCAGGGCGTTTCCCCGGGGGATTGTTTTAAAACGCGGTGGTTTGTGGGCGTGCTGTGTAGACACGGGGGCACTGCGCCTCAGAATGACGTCTGCAGCGCAGAGTTGCTTTTCCCGAGGGTCTTCAGGCCAGTTCCTATGTCTGCCCACCGTGGCCTGCACCACTGCATGTCCAGTGGGCGTCGTGTTGGAATCGTGGTGCCCACGTTGGGACCATCTCAGTTCCCCAGGATGCTAGGGGCCGTGTGAGCATCCGTGCTGAGAGGCTGTCGGCCGTGGTCAGCTGAGACCCTGTAACTCTGCTCTCAGCTCTGCGACCCCCACAGGAAGCCTGCGGCTGTGGAAGGCTGCAGGGTTGCCTGAGGTCAGGGGACCAGGCAGCAGATGTGTCCGTGTGAATTCTCCCAAAATAAAAGGAGTAAATCTTAAAATGTGAGACAGAGTAAACAGAGTACCTGTGGCAGTGTTTTGTTTTGTTTTTAAGGTTTTATTTATTTTATTTGAGAGGTAGAGTTACAGACAGTGAGAGGGAGAGACAGAGAGAGTGGTCATCTGCTGATGGTTCACTCCACAAATGGCCGCAGTGGCCGGAGCTATGCTGATCCAAAGCCAGGAGCCAGGAGCTTCTTCCCAGTCTCCCACGCGGGTGCAGGCACCCAAGGACTTGGAGCCATCTTCTTCTGCTTTCCTAGGCCATAGCAGTGAGCTGGATTGAAAGTGGCGCAGCCGGGACTAGAAGCGGCGCCCATATGGGATGCCGGCGTCGTGGGCGGAAGATTAACCAAGTGAGCCACGGCGCCGGGCCCGTGGCAGTGGTTTTGAATGGAGAGCGCATTCAGGCTGTTTGTAAGTTCAGTGAGTGAGTCACTGGTCGGACACCAGAAGACCAAGCGACAGAGCAGACAGATTGAAGTAGTGGGCCAGCCGTTTCTTCTTCCCTCGCCCCGAGGTGGAGCTGGAGCACACCGGGCGGGGATGTGGGTGTGGGGGCCCCTGGGGTGTTGTCGCCTCGCCGTCGCTCTCCTGATGGCCTCTCCCATTGCCCGTGCCCAGGTACGAGGTGCTGCAGCTGTGCTGGCAGTCCCCCGACAAGAGGCCGGCGGCCGAGGACGTGCACCGGCTGCTGACCTACCTGCGTATGCAGAGCCAGCGGGCCTCGGAGGTGGACTTCGAGCAGCAGTGGAACGCCCTGAAGCCCAGCGTGCACAGCAGAGACGCGGCCAGCAACGCCGCCTTCCCCATCCTCGACCACTTTGCCCGCGACCGCCTGGGCCGCGAGATGGAGGAGGTCCTCACTGTGACCGAGACGAGCCAGGGCCTGAGCTTCGAGTATGTGTGGGAGGCCGCCAAGCACGACCACTTCGAGGAGCACGGCCGCGGCCACCCCGACGAGGCCCTGTCCTACACGAGCATGTTCTTCCCCGTCGAAGTGTTCGAGAGCTCGCGCGCGGAGCCGGGGCCCGGCACACAGGACGACAGCGGCCAGGAGGCGCCCCTGCGGGCCCCCGGCGTGCTTCCTGTCTTTGACGCCCACAACCTGTCCGTTGGAAGCGACTATTACATCCAGCTAGAGGAGAAGAGCGGCGGCCACGTGGAGCTTGATTACCCGCCCGCCCTGCTCACGACCGAGCTGGAAAACCCCGACGGGCCGGGCGTTGAGGCGCCCCCGTTCCCGGCCCTCCGGGGCCTGGAGTTGGAGGAGTCCAGCACCGACGAGGACTTCTTCCAGAGCGGCGCGGAGCCCAAGGAGCCCAGCCTGGCTGAGGAGCTGCGTGTGGCCGGGGGCCACGACAGCCCGTTCCTCGGCATCTTCAGTGACCTGGACAAACCCGAGGACCTGCCCGGCCACCAGAAGATGTTTGACTTGATGGAGGTAAACGGTGCTCAGGTGGACCCGAAGGCGGCCCCTCTGAGCTCAGGCTCGGAGCAGCCCCGAGAGCCGGCGGCCCGCTCGCTCTTGGACGGGCCTCTCGACCCGCTGAGCGCTCAGGAGCTGTCAGAAAACTTTGTGTTTCTCCAAGAGAAGAACCTGCTCAGGGGCCCGCTGCCTGGCCCGGAGCACCCACGTGACCTCCAGGCGGCGCATCCGGACGCGGGCGTCACCGCGTCGTGGGACACCTCGCACGGAAACGCCTCAGACGCCGAGCTGAAGCTCACGGACGGTGAACTGGGGCCGTCCTTGTGCCGGGACAGCAGGAGTAAGGACGCAGGTGGCCATGCACCAAGCCCCTCGGCGCTGTCTTCCCCTGACGCGCAGGCCCCCGTGGCCTTGCTCCACTCGGAAGGAGCGCCTCCCAGTGAGCCCCCGGCCCCCTCCCTGCAGCCCAGGGAGGTCAGCGTCCCTGGGGACCATCCCTGCCAGGACACATGTCCAGAGCCCGTGACTGTCCCAGTGGACCATCTTCCTGTGGATGCCAGCCCCGCCAGGGCAGGCGATGGGTCCCAGCCTGCGGAGGAGGCCCTGAGACAGAGCGATGGTGGTGCCGGGCAGGCAGGCATGGGGGCCGGCCTTCTGGACCTGAGCCAGGCTGAGGAGTGCCCGGGAGACCCTGGCAGTAAGAGCCCGGATGTGATGGTGACCGTGAGTCAGCTCGAGAACGCCAAAGGAGCAGGCCTGGCGTCCGTGCTGTCCTCCGACTCCACCAGTCAGGACAGCCTCCTGGAGGACAGCCTGGCCACGCCCATCCCCACCTCCGAGCAGTCTCTGGAGACGCCCGACTCCCTGGATTCCATGGATGTCCAGGAAACACTGCTGGGTCCCCTGGGCTCCCACACGCCTCAGAAGCTGCCGGCCCCGGAGAAGCCGGCGGACAGCGGCTACGAGACTGAGAACCTGGAGTCTCCGGAGTGGACCCTGCATCCCGCCCCTGAGGGTGCCACAGACTCGGCCGCAGCCGGCGACGGGGCTCCTAGTGCTTTGCCTCCCAACCCGGTCATTGTCGTCTCAGACGCAGGCGATGGCCAGAGAGGCGCCGAAGTGACCGCACAGACGTGTGCGCCGGGCTCCCAGGGCTCCTACCGGGACTCGGCGTACTTCTCAGATAACGACTCTGAACCTGACCGGAAGGCCGAGGAGGCCCCAGGCACCTCCGTGCCAGCCGTGGTGTTGGTCGAGGGTCAGCCCCCGCCCGAGCCGGTTGTTCCAGAGCAGGAGCAGAGCCCCGGTGTCCTGGGCGGTTGCCTGGAAGCCGGCGGCAGCCAGTCAGACCCAGGCTGCTCATCCGCTTTGCAAGATCCCAGTGGCCTGGAGTCGGGAGCCGAGCTGGAGCCGGCCCGGGCCGACGTCTCTGGAGAGGTGTGTCCTGCGGAAGACGAGGCTGGCAGCCCCTTGAATCTGTGGCACTCGGAGCTCAGCAGCAGCGACGACTTTGAGGCCCCGGAAGATCAGCCCTGCACCCTTGCCTCCACTGGCACCAACACCAACGAGCTCCTGGCCTACACGCACTCGGCGGCGGCCAAGTCCCTGTCCTGCCACGCCGAGGGCCCCAAGCTCAAGGAGCCGGACATCGAGGGGAAGTACCTGGGGAAACTCAGCGTGACCGGGGCGCTCGACCTGACCGAGGACGGCATGGACGCGGACGAGGAGGACGAGAACAGCGACGACTCGGACGATGACCTGCGGGCCTTCGACCTGCACAGCCTGAGCTCGGAGTCGGAGGACGAGCTGGAGCACCCGGTGCCCGTGGTCCTCAGCGAGGACGACGGCAGGCACCTGCGGAGCTTGCTGAAGCCGGCCGCGGCCGTGCCTGCCGGGCCGCTGCCCGAGGACTGGAAGAGGGAGAAGAAGGCCGTCACGTTCTTCGACGACGTCACGGTCTACCTGTTTGACCAGGTACCCCTGGCGGGGAGGCAGTGTGCGTGCGCGTGAGTCGCGGCGTGGGTCGAGAAGCTGAGGGCGGCCCGTCTTTCCCCTTGTCCTTCTGAGGCAGACGTGTGGTGGGGTTTGTTCAGTGAAGTGAGGGAGACCCGATGTGCTCCTGACCACCCGGCAGGATCTCCCTGACGTAACAGTCCGACTGGTTAGGACCTCGCGGTGGGGCCGGTGTCTCTGGGGACAGCCCCCAGCAGCCGCCCTGCGGCCCTTCCGCCCGTCCCCTTTGCCTGCCTTGGAGCAGACTGCTCGGAGGGCCCTGCTCAGACGGCAGAGGACTTGCGCTCATCCTCTTTAGCCGTCTGCTTCCTGTCTGTAGCCTTTGAATGCACTTTGCAAGTGCAGCTCGGTCCTGGTTGCTGGGCCTGGGGTCCACCGCGGGCCAGAAGATGCCGCTAGCCCGGGAGCGCCCTTCGCCTTGTCCTCCCTCCTGCGTCTTGTGCTTCGCACACGTCTGAGCCGGGAAGCTTTGTGCCTTGGGAAATAAGGGGCCGTCTTCTGCTGAGAGCAGAAGGGAGAAGGGAGCCTCCTGTGTCCGCCCTCAGCGCCTGTGTCACGGGGAGACACGGTGCCGCTGCTCTGGAGCCTGAGGGTCCCGGGAGGTGGAGGCGGGGCGGGGCGGGGGGTCGCTCATGCCCACCTTTCGGACTGCAGTGCGACCTTCTGTGGCTTTGGAAGACGCAGCACGGTTGCCGCTTTGGAGGAGTGATCATTCTCAGGCTCCACCCAGGGGTTTGGGTTTGGGTTTATTTATTTGAAAGAGTTACAGAGAGAGAAGGAGAGGCAGAGAGAGAGAGAGAGAGAGAGAGAAAGGTCTTCCACCCGCTGGTTCACTCCCCAAATGGCCACAATGGCCAGAGCTGTGCCGATCAGGAGCCAGGAGCTTCTTCTGGGTCTCCCACATGTGTGCAGGGGCCCAAGGACCTGGGCCATCTTCTGCTGCTTTCTCAGGCCACAGCAGGGAGCTGGATTGGAAGTGGAGCAGCTGGGGCTCGAACCAGCGCCCATATGGGATACCGGCACCGCAGGCGGCCGCTTTACCCGCTAGATTTTGGTGTCAGGGCTGTGCTGTTCTCGTGAGTTGGGAAGCATTTCTCCCCCTTACCTGAGTAGTTCCTGGAACAGATGGCGTGGGCCTGTCCGTCTTCCCAGAGAGCTGCTTTTCCGGGATTTTTTCCTTTATCATTTCTCTCTTCTGTCTCGGTGACTTCTGGCATTATTGTTCCTTTCCTTCCGTTTAGCTTGGGTTTCTTGTTCTGCACTCCCGAGGTGGAAGCCGAGGTGTGTGGCCTCTTTTCCGGTGTCGGCGTTGTGATGCCCTAACTGCCGTCTGCGTGCCGCCCGTGGGGGCGTGTGGCCTTTTCAGTGGCGCTCACCGCCAGTCACTGTATTTCCTGAGCTGCCCTCTTTGATCCGTGGATTATTTACGAGCGCATAGCTCAACTGCCAAAGGCTACAGGTGTTCTCATGCCTTTCCTCTCAGTGGTTTCTAGGATTTCCGGGCTGCTTCCATCATGGGTGGACGACATAGCCTGTCTGGCTTCGTTTCGGCGCAGTGTGCCTTCCGCTGAGTGGACTCCCGTTCTCGCCCTGGCAGATTTCGCCGGTTGGCAGCGTGGTTCGTCTCCTCCATGTCAGAGTTGGTTTTTCGCGTTGCTGAGGTAGCGGTGCTGAAGTCTCCCGCCATCGTGCTACGTTTGTATCTCACTCTCTGCGTTTCCGTCAGCTTTCGCAGCCCTGGTAGGGCCTGTACAGCCAGGACGGTGCTGTCTTCCTGGGAGATGGGCCTTCTGGTCATCACGTGACGTCCCTTATCCCGCCCTGTCCGATACTCACGTAGCTGCTCCAGGTTTCTGTTGATCGGCATTTGCCTAGGCTGTATTTTGTCACCTTTGAACTTCTTACATGAGTTTCTCCAAGATAGAATATAGCAGATGAAGGGTGTTTTCTTTCTTTCTTTTTTTTAATCTCTTCTGATTTATTTACTTGCAAGAGTTACAGAGAGAGAAGGAAAGATACACACACACACACACACACACACACACACAGATCTTTCATCCACTGGTTCACTTCCCAGATGGCTGCAACAGCCAGGGTGGGCCAGGCCAAAGCCAGGAGCCAGGGGCTTCATTTGGGTCTCCCCTGTGGTAGCAGGGGCCCAAGCACTTAGGCCATCTGTTGCTGCTTTTCCAGGCCATAGCAGAGAGCTGGGTCGGAAGTGGAGCAGCCAGGACTTGAACCAGTGCCCATGTGGGATGTGGGCATTGCAGGCAGCAGCTATACCTGCTGTACCACAATGTTGGCCCCAAAACCCTGTGTTCTAATGTTAACTTACCCATGGTGATTTTCACTACCCATCCTCTCTGTCTGTAGTGTGTGTAGTGGGTTGTTCCAGGGGTTAAGGAGTAGACATGCTTTTCAGCCAGCTTATCCTAGTGTTTCACGTGTAGAAGAGAGGGTAGAGGGGCTCATGTTGGCACACAGTGGGTCAGACCGCCTCCTGTGATTCTAGCTTCCCCCGTCAGAGCACTGATTTGGGTCCTGCTGCTCTGTTTCCTGTCCAGCTCTCTGCTGATCGCCCGGCAAAGCAGCAGGGGACGCTCTAAGTCCTTGGGCCCCTGCACCCGTGGGGGAGACCAGGATGGAGTTCCTGGCTCCTGGCTGCAGCGTGGTCCAGCCCTGGCTGTTGTGGCCATTTGGGAAGTGAGCCAGTGAATGGAAGACCTCTGTCTCCCCCTGCCTCCCTCTCCGTCACTCTACCTTTCAAATAAATAAAATCTTTAAAAAAATTAAAAAGGTGTAGGATACAAAACATGTGGGCCTTTCTCTTGATATCGTCCTGGCAGTGCCCACACAGGCCCTGAAGATCAGATCTGTGTGTGTGTGTGTGTGTGTGTGTGTGTGTGTGTTTAGATTTGTTTATTAGAAAACCAGGAAGAAACGGGGAAAGAGAGAGATCTTTCATCTGTTGGTTCATTCCCTGAATGCCCACAACAGCCGCGGCTGGGCCAGGATGGAGCCTGGAGCCTGGAGCTCCATCTGGGTGCATCCCACGGGTGGCAGGGACCAGGGTGTGCGTGAGCTGGCAGCTGGATTGGAAGCAGAGGAGACTTGAACCAGGCTCTCCGACATGGGATGCCGGAGCCCCGCATGGCCATTGAACCTGTGCCACAGTGCCCATCCTGTCTCGTGTGTGTGTGTGTGTGTGTGTGTATCTTAAAAAGTTATTTATTCATTTGAAAGGTGGAGTTATAGCGCTTCTTTACTCCCCAAATGCCCGCAACAGCTGGAGTCGGGCCAGTCCGAAACTGGTAGCCTGGAGCTTCTTCCAGGTCTCCCATGTGAGTGCAGGGGGCCCAAGCACCTGGGCCATCTTCTTCTGCTTTCCCAGGCCATAGCAGAGAGCTGGATCGGGAGTGGAGCAGCTGGGACTTGAACCAGCGCCCACATGGGATGCCGGCACTGCAGGCTGGGGCTTTAACCTGCTGTGCCACAGCGCCGGCCACTTATTCAGAAGATTTAATTACTTTTTTTTTTCCTTCAAAGGTTTATTTATTTGAAAGTCAGAGTTACACAGAGAGAAGAGGAGAGGCAGAGAGAGAGGTCCCCCATCCGCTGGTTCACTCCCCAGTTGGCCACAACGGCTGGAACTGCGTCGATCCAGAGCCAGGAGCCTCCTCTGGGTCTCCCATGCAGGTGCAGGAGCACAAGCACTTGGGCCATCTTCTACTGCTTTCCCAGGCCACAGCAGAGAGCTGGATTGGAAGTGGAGCAGCTGGGTCTCTAACCGGCACCCATATGGGATGCCAGCGCCTCAGGCCAGGGCGTTAACCCGCAGATAGGAAGGCAGAGTACCCTAACTGCCTAGATCAATTCTTGCTTCTACTGTGACTGAAGGAGTTTGTTTCACGGTCTCCTCTTTCCCATTTTGGTCCCGACAACAACTCTCTGCGATTCTGTCTGGCGCGCACACACTGGCTCCTGAGCAGTGCTCTTCTCTGGTTTTCGCTCTTTAAGGCCAGCGCCACTTCTCTGGCCCCGTGTTTCCCGTGAGACACCTGCCGTCGTGTTTCCCCTCGAGCAGGCGGCGTCGGTCTCCAGCAGCTTTCACGGCGTCTTCTTGGTCTTCAGCGCTCAGCGGGTTGGCTGTGCAAGCCTCCCACTGCTGTGGCCCGCCAGTTGGAGACACTCGTGTCTCCCCGCGTCCTCTCCTCCCCTGCGCTCGCTCGGGGCGCCCCGCCCTTTCTGCTGCAGCTGTTTTTCTTCGCTTTTGGTGGGGCTGCTGGGTGTGTGGTCCGGGGAGCGCTACAGTTTCGCTTGCGTTTCTCTGTCCTGAAATCTGCATTATCCTGTTCTCTATGCTCCGTTCTTGCGCCGAGACGACGTTTCTGTCCGCTTCCTGGGAGCTGGTCCTTCCCTGTGCGGCGACTGTGACGCTGTCTCCAGGGACCCCACGGCGGGCGTGGTCTTGGCCTCGGCGGGAGCCCAGCCGTTCCAGGTTCTCCGTGTGCCGAGTGGTTTCAGATCGTGTACCCTCACATCGCGTTCCGCAGTCCGGCGTCTTGTTCAGATTCTGTGGAGAAGGTCGGCGTTGCCGTCTCGGGCCTCGACCGGGCTGTGGGTTGCGGTTTCAGTCTTGGTTCCCCTTTCAGAGCCTGTGCTGCGCCCCGCCCCGTCCCCTTGTCACAGCTCTGGCGTCGCGGTGGGGTCGGAGCTGAGTGGCTGGGGTGAGGGGCAGCTTTGTGGACGACTCTTCTGTGATGTCCCCGACACCTCCCTGGTTGGTGTCCGGTGCCAGGCTGTGCCCTTCCTGCACAGGCAGCGCTGGCCCAGGGTGCACAGGAAGCTGCCCCCTGAGTTAGAGGCACTGGCCAGCCCGCAGCTGCGTGGGCTGGGAGCCCCACAGGTGGAGGCCGGAGGCGAGCGGGCACCAGAAGCCCCTGTGCCCTGAGAGCCGGAGGCAGAGGGGCCGAGTGCAGGCGGGGCTGTTGGGGGGGGCTGAGTGCAGGCGGGGCTGTTGGGGGGGGCCGAGTGCAGGCGGGGCTGTTGGAGGGGGGGCCGAGTGCAGGCGGGGGCTGTTGGGGGGGGGCCGAGTGCAGGCGGGGCTGTTGGAGGGGGGGCCGAGTGCAGGCAGGGGCGTTGGGGGGGTGCGAGTGCAGGCGGGGGTGTTGGGGGGGGCGAGTGCAGGCGGGGGTGTTGGAGGGGATGCCGAGTGCAGGCGGGGGTGTTGGAGGGGGGGCCGAGTGCAGGCGGGGCTGTTGGAGGCAGAGGGGACTGAATCCTGCGGCAGGAGCCCCACCCCAGCCAGGACGGCGACGGCCCCTGTTTCCAGATGTAGCTGCCGGCCGGCCTGCGCTCACCCAGGTGCCTTCCCACGTCAGCTGATGAGGATTCTGTTTGGCTTTCCAGGAGACCCCGACCAAGGAGCTGGGGCCCTGCGTGGGGGAGGCGCGTGGTCCCGAGCCCAGCAGCCCGGCGCTGCCTGCAGGTCCGCCCTACCTGAGCAGGTGCATCAACTCCGAAAGTTCCACAGATGACGAAGGTGCGTCACCTCACTGGTCGTGTCAGGGCTCTTGGGGCTCTGGACGATGTGAAGGTTTTCAGAGGGCGACACCGGGGAGCGGGCCCTGCCACCTGTGGGGCGAGCACACCTGTGCCCCTCCGTGTTCACCTGCGAGTGATGAGGGAGGCCTGTGCTTGTCCCTTCCAGGTGGAGGCTTTGAATGGGACGACGACTTCTCCCCAGACCCTTTCATGTCAAAGACGACGAGCAGCCTCCTGGCCTCGAAGCCTTCCCTGCAGACATCAAAGTACTTCTCCCCGCCGCCGCCTGCCCGGAGCGCGGAGCAGAGCTGGCCGCCCCCGGCGCCCTGTTCCCGCTTCTCCATCTCCCCCGCCGACATCGCCAGCTTCTCCCTCACACACCTCACGGACTCGGACATGGAGCAGGGAGGTGAGAGGGGCCTCCCCGCTGCACCTCAGGGTGCTGCCTCCCTGGTGCTTGCTTTATGAAGCCCACATGATCTTGACTGTGGCCTTGGCCGCGTTAGGTCTCTGCCTCTCCCGGGCTTGTCCTGCTTGCTCCGGCTGGGCCGTGAGCGGGGCTGGAGCCAGGAGCCTGGTGTCCCGGCTCGGGGTGCCTAGGCACCTGCCCGGGGGGGCGCCACCTTCCTTTCCTCGCCATGCGTGGTGTGCGCCCTCCTGCCTCTCTGCTTCCCCAAGGTGCGCGCCTTAGCGGCTGTTGACCCGGGGTTTGGCGTCGGGCCCAGGCTCTTCCCCTGGGAATGTTGACTTTGCCATTAAGTCTCGGTCTCTCATGACCCCAGAGGCTGCTGGGAACCCCTGGCGGGGTCCATTTGAAGTGTCGTGTCTGGAGAGAGGGCCCTCCCACGCCTAGGTTGAAAGATAAGTGTTAATAGGCACATTTTTTGACTTAGAGTTTACAGATCAAATAGTAAACACAAGACCTAAAGAGCTTTTATCTGTGTTTGCACCGTGTCTCACGTGTGCCGGCTCGGCACGCCCGCTGACCTGGCTGGCGCTGGGTGTCGTGCAGGTGTGTGTGTCAGGGCTGTGGGAGCTGAGCAGATGTGCGTGGGAGCCTCTGGCAGGTGCCACCGTGGCGGGGGGGGGCGGGGCGGGGGGCGGTGCCCGGCTTGGGTTCCCTTTCTGCCGTGCCGCAGAGATAAGCGCCCTCACCGCCGCCAGCCGTGCTGGGCACTAGCAGATGCTCACTTGGTCGTGTCACTGTCTCTGTCCCGAACAGGAAGCAGTGAAGACGGAGACAAGGATTAGACGGCCGTGCTCGGGACGACCAGCCGAGCGGCGGCCACCGCCGTGTGCTGACAGGAGCTGGGAAGCAGTCCGGAGGCGCAGAGGGAGGTGGCCCTGACCTCCGTCCCCGCTGGGGCCTGCGGGGAGCCCGCGGGGTGCTCAGGCACAGGTGTCCCACGGAGGCCGCGCACGCCAGGCCGCGGGTCCGTCCTCCCTGGAGGCGCCCTGTGCCCTGCCCAGGAGTCCCAGTCTTGGCACGGGTGCCGTGGAGGGCGTGCCAGGGGAGTGGTCACGAGTGAGCCATACCTACACTGCTTCTGTAACCGCACTGTGGACACATGTTCTCGGCGTCCCCAGGACTGTACAGAACCTGAAATTACTCATGGAGAGTGAGGCAGGTCGAGCTGGTGCTGCCCACTGGTGTGATTCTTCTGTTTCACGGTCCGTCTGCTCTGCATGGTGCCTGTAAAGCGTCAGTATTTGAGTGTCCGCTGTGTCTGGAGTTGTCGGGACCGCACGCACGGTACTCCCTCCCCCTAGGCAGCCGTGGTTCTGGTCGTCGGTGCTCACGTTCTCTTAGGAAATGTTTTGAATGAGTCCAGATCCCTGCTCCGTCCCTGCAGCTCTGTCTCGAGGCCTGCGGCCTCTCCGAGGAGCTGAGGGTCCAGCCAGGCCAGCGTGCCCTCCCGCCATGCCCCTGGGTCCCTGTGCTGGAGCCACTGCCTGGAGGAGGCGTCTGCGAGGGACTGCAGCTGTCGCGGGCCGTTGAGTTCTGTCCATCTGCTTCATGGGTCAGATTTGACCTTGGAAAAACACCTTCAGGATGAATTTCCTGCACCAAGCCTCGCCACGTGCGGCCAGCCTCTTTGTAACCGGGGGACTCGCCACGTCCGGCAGCTCTGACAGGGACAGGGACCACTTCGTAGCCTCAGCAGCCAGCACGGCCTCCTCCCGCCTACCCCGCCCTGCGCTGAGCCAGGGCGGTGCCTGGGGCGACAGGAAGGTGGCGAGGGCGTGGGCCGGGCCAGTTCACACGGCGCATTGTGGCCTCGGGTCCGGCCGGGTTGCGTGTGCAGGGCCAGTTCTCACGGCGCATTGTGGCCTCGGGTCCAGCCGGGTGGCATGTGCAGGGCCAGTTCATACCGCACATTTGTGGCCTTGGGTCCGGCAGGATGGTGTGTGCAGGGCCAGTTCACACGGTGCATTGTGGCCTCGGGTCCGGCTGGCTGGCGTGCGCCGGGCCAGCACACACAGCACACCATGGTCTCGGGCCGGCCAGCTCGCTCTGAAGGTTGATCTGCAGCAATAAGTTTCCAGAGCAGGGGGCCTCAGGACGGAGACGGCGCCCCCCACCCCACTCCGGGATGCGCTCCTACCACATCCGTCCGAGCTCCGACCGTCGTGGCTGGAGGCATCCGGGGCTCGCTGCCCGTGCGCAGCCGCCGGCCGCTCACACCATTCGCTGACTGGGGTTTGGGGGCCGTACCTTCCCCACCGCGATGAAGGAGACTTCAACGGCATCATTCCCATTTTTATTCATTTCAAGGCCATACTGCTCTCACGATTAATTGCCAAAACAAAGAAACCATTTTATACACTGCGGTGGGGGGAGGTCTGTGGTGTTGCATGGAGAAGACTGCATTTACAGTAGACGACGTCAGTGAAACCTCGAGCAATACCCGTGAGACCCAGCGCAGTGGTTCTGCCACTGTCCGCCCAGCGTCTGTGCGCCCAGCACAGCCACGGCAGCCGCCTTGCAGCGCGGGGTTCCGGGGCGAGCCCTGCGAGGGAGAGCGAGTGCGTCGTCACCCTCACCCTGGTGCAGTTTGTGTATCTGAGACTCCGAGTAAAAACGCTGTCACCTCCATTTCACTCCCACTAGATGCGAATCCCTGTTCTCAGACGGCCCAGCCCCAGGGCCCAGCCCCTGCTCCGCGGAACCACAGGGGAGGCCGAGCGGTGGTCGGGTCCTGAGGCACAGGCGCGTGTTCCCAGGGAGGCGGCTCGTCCAGAACAGCCTGTCTGCCGCGGGACCGCGTGGAAGGGTCACCCTCCGGACGCCGAGCCTTATGAGAAGTAGCCTTAAACCGTGTGTGCACGGTGCCCTCGGGCCAGGAACTCGGCGGGGATGGGCCTGGGCGGTGGTCTCGGTGGTCAGTCTCGGTCAGTCTCGGTCATCCCGGCGGGAAGACGCGGCTTTAGCATAGAAGTGAACTGGCAGGGGTGCGCGGACAGCGTCGGCTCACCAACAGCCTGTGCGGGGCCTCGGGCACGAGCCCACGGGTGCTGCGTGGGGCGGAGCGGGGTCCTGGGGTGCTGCCCCGCCCCCACCGTGCTCTAACAGTCAAGAGAGGTTCACGGCAATATGTTACCGAACTTCCAGTTTGAATTGTGTACATTTTTAAATTGTAAGATTTTTACTGTATATTGATGCATAGTGTGATTCGATAAATTGCTTGTAATTTAAAAACTATTTAATATTCAAAATAAATATAGTTATATATTTATAAACTCTGTTGCCGCGGTCTTTCCACCGAGCGGAGGCCGGGGTGGGCTCGCTCCGGGGACCGCCCACTTTCGGGGCAGACCCAGCCCCTCCTCAGTCCTGAGATAGGCAGATTTCTCTGGCTGCTGCCCGGCAGTGTGTCCGACCCAAAGCTCTCTGGGAAGAATCTAGAAGCCCCAGACAACCTCCAAGCCAGGAGGCGCAAAGGCCAGCCCTCTCTGCGCCCCCCCATCCTGGCCCTCACCTCACTGAGGCCTGAGCCGAACCCCAGAACCGTGGCCCGTGGGGGTGGTGCCTTGCACCTGCCCGGGTCGCACCAGTGACCCTCGGGGAGGTCCCCCTGGGGCCAGGCAGATGGACCCTGGACAGAGTGGGGGTGGAGCCCCGGCCGAGAGTTTGCCCAGGGTAAGCTCGGGTCTGCCTCAGTGACCCCGAGCAAGGCGCTTCCTGCGCCTATGAGCCTCCCCCTCCCCAGTACGCGGTGAGGAAGTTGAACCCGGGCCGCCAGGTGCAGCCCCAGGTGCAGCCGAGGGAGGCACAGCCGGGTTCCAGCCCAAGCTGGCCTGGCCGGTTCTGCCCCCTGGAGACCTAGAGCCAGGCGCTCTCCCGCCCCGCGGCCCGGGCCCCCGCACTGCAGTGGGGGCTACAGCCCCCCCCCCCCAGGGTTGTCCTCCGTTTTCCCCGGGACTTCTCTGGCTGTCCCGAGCGCCAGCCCCGCCGCCAGGTGCGGCCCAACTGAGGAACCGGCCCCGGGGCCGCGGGGAGGAGGCGGCCGGGGGCGGTCCTGGAGCAGGGCCGGGCCGGGCCGGGCCGGGCCGCGGGTGCCCTGAGCCCGTGCCGCCGCCGCCGCCGCCGCAGCCCGCGGGGCCGCAGGTGTCGCCGCCGCCCCCACTCCCGACAGCCGGCCCCGCCCGCGGCCCCGCCCAGCTCATTTGCATGCGCGCTGCCCCGCCCGGGGCGGCTAAAGCGACGTGTCCTTGTCCCCCGTGGACAGCTTCGGCGCGTGCAGCCGCGGATCCCCCAGGTAACGAGGGGGCTGGGGGGCGGGCCGAGGGGGCTGCAGGGAGGGGTCGCCGCGGCGGGATGGGGCGGGGGCGGGGGAAAGGCCAAGGAGACTCCGCTGCTGGGTCTGGAACCCCCGCGGGGGACCACCCACGTGCTGGGGCCGGGTCGCCTCTGACCTGCCATGACTGCCCCAGATCCACAGCGGACCCGGTCCAGTGCTGTCCCTGCGGGTGTCACGTCCAGCAAGGTGGTGACTGTGGTCGCTGCCCTGCCCCTGGGACAGACAGGAGGCTGCTCGAACCCGGGACCTGGGCAGTGCAGAGGTCACTTAAGCCCAGGGTCAGTGAGGGGCAGGGGACCCGAGAAAGGTCAGGGGTTGTATTTCAAGCCTCCCCCCTGGGGGGAGACAAGATCAGTGGGGATCAGCGGAAGGACTTGGGGGTGGGGCTTGTGTCAGCGAGGGCCCTGGGGACCCTGTGCACCAAGTGGTCAGCTGCCCAGGCTATCTGCAGGGGGAACTGATGGGGTCGGCTGCCCTACTGTCCCCCAGCCGAGCCAGTGACCACAGAGGGGCCCGTGTTGTGGATTTCAGTTTCGAGGGCCACCACCTCCTGGGACCACCCGACCCACAGAGCCATGAAGACCAAGAACCGGCCTCCCCGGCGCCAGGCCCGGGACACCGAGGTCACCGCGGGGGAGCGGACGCCGGACGGGCCCCAGGCAGGCGCGGGGCCTGAGCTGGCCAAGGGTCTCCGGAGCAGGGCGGCCCGGGCGGCAGGGGCGCGGGCCGAGGGCGGCGGGCGGCGGCGGCCGGGCCCTGGCGGCCGGCGGGAGAGCAGCGTCCAGCGGCGGCTGGAGAGCAACGAGCGGGAGCGGCAGCGCATGCACAAGCTCAATAACGCCTTCCAGGCGCTGCGCGAGGCCATCCCACACGTGCGGGCCGGCAAGAAGCTCTCCAAGATCGAGACGCTCACGCTGGCCAAGAACTACATCAAGTCGCTCACCGCCACCATCCTGACCATGTCCAGCGGCCGCATCCCGGGCCTCGAGGCGCCGGGCCCCGCGCCGGGCCCCAAGCTGTACCAGCATTACCAGCAGCAGGCGGCCGGTGGCCCGCCCGGTGCCGCCGAGCACCAGCCCCAGGGCCACCTGCACAGGTACTCCACGCAGATCCACAGCTTCCGGGAGGGCACCTAGCCCAGCGGCGGGCAACCCGCTCACCCCAGCCCTGCCCTCCGCTCTGCCAGCCCCAAGCTCCAGCCCCCAGCACCTCTGCTACTCCCCAGCTCCTCCCACCGAAGCCTCAGACGCTTCCCCGGAGCCACTTCTCCCGCCCTCCGGGATGAGCAAGGGGCTTGGTCGAGGCCTCGGCTCTGGGCAGCGAGAGGCCGGCCCTGCAGGCGGGCCTCCGGGTCCTGCTGCTCGTGGAGCCCTGTGGAGCCCCGTGGACCAGGCCTTGGCCTAGGCAGCTCAGCTCCGCCCTGCAGCCCTGAGTGACTCGCTCCCGGACAGGGAGAGAGATTCCAGGAAACCCTCGATCCCTTGCAAGTTTCCACTGAGGCCTCGACGCGGGGGGCCCTCCTCCAACCGGCATCACAGGCTGCACCGGGCCGGAGGTGCATCAGCCTCGTCGCTGGGGCCCGAAGCAAGCCCAGCAAAGCCCAAAGCCCTCCGGGTGGTGTGGCCAAGGCAGACTGTCCTCAGACACCCTCAGACTCGTTCCAAACAGGGGGGCAGCAGCACCCCCTAGGCCGAGTGGGGCCTGGGTCTGCAGCCCTGGGGCCAAGGGGCGCCAAGGAGATGGGGCCGGAGACAGAGCTGGGTTGTCTCCAGGGACACAAGCGCCCCCAGAGACCCCAGCAGACTCATTCATGACATCTCTCTGTGCCCAGGTGGGACTGTCAGAGCATGGGCAGTGTGGGCGGCGGGGTGGGGGGCTCATAGGACCTCAGGATGTTCGCGGCTGCAAGTCTGGGGTGGGTTCTGGGGGTGTTGGGGTGGTGGTGGCCGGAGCTTCCCTCCCCCACCCGAGGGAGCTTGGTAGGTGCCGCCGCCCGGAGCTCAGCTTCCTCCTGTCGGGGCGTTCCTGCCTCACGGGCTCTGGCAGACTTGGCCACTTTGCTGGCAACCGTGCTGGCATTTCCCTTCCCTTGTCCCTCTGCCCAGAGCTGTGCCAGAGGCCCTCAGGGCCCGCCCCCCTCCCCCACCAGGCACCGCGGGCAGGGCCAGGCAGCCTCGCCCTCCTCGACCTCAGGGTCGGCCCCGGCCACTCTCAGTGCGGCAGGTGGCTGGCGGCAGCGGCCCTCAGTTCCTGCAAGGTGGCCCGGGGCACAGTGGTCTCCCGTCCGATCGTGTGCCATTCCTGCTGGCCCCTGGAGGCCTGGACCGGGCCCACTGCCCCTGCCGGTCTTTGTTTCAAGTAAGGTGGGAATCCCGGGCCTTCTGGGTCCGCACCTCAGGGGTGGCTGCTGCAGGAGGTCGGCGGTCAGGGCGAGCCTGGGCGGGGCACGGCTCTGAGCTGAGGGTGGCTGGGGCCCGGCGTGCCCTGCTGTGGGGGCCTCCCCAGCGGCCGGGGACAGGCAGGCTGCCACAGCCCGGGCAGTTGCCGCTTCCTGCTGCGCCCCTGAACTTGCTGACAAGACCCTGGGCTGCAGGCCCCTGTGCCTGGTGCTGGCCACGCCCGGCGGCCCAGCCAGGGGCTGTGGTGTGAAGGAGCCTGAATGTCCACAGGCCCGCTGCAGGGAACTGGGGCCAGGCTTGTGCCTGGCTGGGGAGGCCGGTGGCTGGGTCTCTCTCAACCCTGGCCCTGGCCCAGGCTGGACTCCTGTCCCGTGGGGTTCCTGCTGGGCCCGGCTGTGCCCGCAGGCTGCTCTGAGCCGCCGCCTCGCCACCACGGGAGCCCGACTCGCAAATTCTCTGTGTGGGAGAACCGGTGATTGTGGTGCAAACGGTCCTAAATGACCCAAACTTGTCTTGTTTTTCTAACGACCCCTCCAAAGTGCTGGTGGAATTGGCGCGGGGTGGAGAACCTGAGTTAGAAGGTCACGGGGCAGTGTCCACTTCTGCCTGCGTGCGCAGTTGCCCGGGGCGCTGTGCGTTGTAAACACGCTGTATCGGTAATGGTAATAATGATAATAATAAAACAGCAGGCCGTTTGCACTCTGGTGTGAATTTTTATTGACTCCAGCAACTCCTCAGTGCTGGGCAGTTGGTGAACACAGCCACCGGGGAAGAGGCAGCGATGGCCTCGCGCCGCTCCCGCCAAGGCCACGTCCACAGTCACGGCTGAACGGACACCATCGTGGGGAACAAACACAACGCCCACAGAAGACCTGACTCCGAAATGTAAACAGCGCCGCCCGCGTGGCCGCCGGCCCCGCCCACTTCACACCTGGTCCCACCCAGGCTGACCCACACGGTGCAGCAGGATGGGCAACAAGGCGGGGCCGGACTGCCCCTCCCGACGGCCAGACAGCCAGGACGCGCACCCGGGGCGCCCTGGATCACTCCAGCGGACGCGCACACGGGGTGCCCGGTGACCCCAGCGGGGAACCCGCACAGGCGCCACCCACGAGGCTGACAGGTGCTCTGCGACCGACGGCCCTGCTCGCATCCGATGACGCCTGCGGGCTCTGGGACGCGGCTTGCGCCCACGGGCCCCCTGCCACGCGCCCGCGCCCACGCCCACGGGGCGCCCCCCGGCTAGCCCCACACTTCGGCAGGGGCTCCCGGCCCGAGTGCGGGGTGGGGAGAGGGGGGCCGGTCCCTTGGCCAAGCCCGGCCTCTCGCGGAGCAGGGCACGTGCAGGGCGCATGCGGACGCGTGGACGGAGCTTCACGCTGCTGGCGTGGACGCGGCGACCCCAGCACGGCGTGCAGCTCCGCGCGGGCCCTGGGAGGTGAGCGGCGGCCTCAGCAGCACACGGGGCCCGGGGCTTCCTGCGCGGCGCTCGGCTCCTGCGCCCGGCACGCGCCCCGCGCCGCCCTGGTGGCGTTGGCCCGGACGGAGATGTGGTCCCAGCCTCCCTGGGGGGCGAGAGCGGGGTCAGCGGGGAGGCCGCGGCGCGGGGGCCTCCGCCGACCCCTCCGCGGCCCCCCGCTCACCCCGATGCCGTAGTCCCAGCCCTGGCCCCTGGGCTCGTGCGGCTGCACACCCGTGCGGTGGCACACGGTTCCCCGGCTCAGGCTGTGGCTCCCCTGCACCTTGTCGGCGATGACCCAGACCTGGAACGGCACGCGCTGCAGCTGCGGCCGCGCCCCGCAGGTCCCCGGCGCCCCGCGCCCCCCGGTCCCCGCGCCCCTGCCCGACCTGGTCCAGGGGCCCCACGCCCCGCGCCCCCCGGTCCCCGCGCCCTACCTGGTCCAGGGGCCCCACGGACACTCTGCGCACGTTGTTGGACACGTGCTCCCAGCTGGAGCCCTGCGGGTAGCTGGGCGTGATCCCCGCGCGGTACCACAGGTTTCCTGCGGGGAGACCAGGGCTCAGGACCACGGCCGCCGCCCCCGGGGGCCTGGCGCCCGCCTGGCTCTGGGCAGCGGGGGAGGCCTGGCCTGGGGTGGAGGCCGCGCCTCCTGGGCCTCTCCGCGCGCCCGAGAGCCTCCGCATCCCGGGCTTCTCCTCACCCCTGAGAGCCTCCGCACTCCGGGCTTCTCCTCACCTCTGAGAGTCTCCACACCCCGGGCTTCTCCTCACCTCTGAGAGTCTCCACACCCCGGGCTTCTCCTCACCCCTGAGAGTCTCCACACACCTGAGAGTCTCCACACCCCGGGCTTCTCCTCACCCCTGAGAGTCTCCACACACCTGAGAGTCTCCACACCCCGGGCTTCTCCTCACCCCTGAGAGTCTCCACACCCCAGGCTTCTCCTCACCCTTGAGAGTCTCCACACCCCAGGCTTCTCCTCACCCCTGAGAGTCTCCACACCCCGGGCTTCTCCTCACCCTTGAGAGTCTCCACACCCCGGGCTTCTCCTCACCCATGAGAGTCTCCACACCCCGGAGAGCCTCCACACCCCCGAGAGCCTCCACACCCCGAGAGCCTCCACAGCCCGGGCTTCTCCTCACCCCTGAGATTCTCCTCACCCCTGAGATTCTCCACACCCCCGAGAGCCTCCACACCCCGAGAGCCTCCACAGCCCGGGCTCTCACTGGCCCACAGCAGGAGTCTGGGCGGCAGCCATCTCTGCCTCATAATTGCCCCATTGTGCTGGGCGGTCTGCGTCCTTGTCCTGCCGAGGTGGAAGCTGAGGACAAAGCGTGTTTTGAAGGCGGGGGAGCCGGGGGAGCCGGGGGAGCGCCGGAGCTGGAGTGAGCGGCTGGGTCTCAGCCTGCTGCTGCCCTCTCGTCGCTGGGCACAGGGTCTGGGAGGGAGCTGGCCAGAGCCCTGCCTGGGGGAGCGCGGGACCCAGGGGTGCTCCAGCGCCAGCCTGCACGGCCCTGAGGGCTCTGGCATCTCGGGCCTGCGCAGAACCTTCTAGAAGACTCTCCTCGGGGGTCACCCCGGCCTTGATGCTCGCTGTGCCCAAGGCCAGTGCAAGTGACCAGCACTCTGCTCTCTGCCCAGGCTGGACTCAGCTGCTTGGGGCCAGTGCCCTCCAGCCCTGGGTGGCCCTGGCTGGCGTCTGGTTACGAGGGGTCTCTGTGGGGGATGCACGGGCAGTGCTGCTCCGCCCTGGCCCTGGCCCGGGCCCTGGGCGCCTCCTGAGGGCCAGGCTGGGCTGCAGCTCAGGGTCCTGCCTCTGCGGTGACCTAGACGGCGGCGCGTCACACTGACACCTGGGGCCCTCGCGACCGGCCCTCTGTCCCGTCAGAGCCCCCGGGCACAGCCACGGGCCGCGGCAGGCCCACTTGCCGTTCTCATCCAAGGCGAACACTGACGTCTGGCCGACAGACACCTGGAGCAGCCTCTGCTTGGCGGGAGGCGGGATGTGGTACCAGCAGTCGCCTGCCGCGGGAGAGCTGGGTGAGGGTGCCGCCAGGCACCCACGACGCCGCGGCCTGGCCCAGGCCACCCCAGGGCCCAGATGGGCCAATCTCACCAAGGTGACAAAGGGACTGCCCTCAGAGCCGCTGTGCAGAGGGAGCCGCGTGCGGCCCGCACCCAAGCCTCTGCCAGGGCCCCTGCGGGCCTGGCCTGGGCTGACAGCTGCCAAGACACCCAGTGGCTCCGAGCCACACGGCCGCCCTGTCCCCGGGGATGACCATCCCACAGCCTGGCCCCGTGGACAGGACCCTGGCTACAGCCAGCAGGCGCTGGGGGCGCAGGGAGGGAAGCACTCACCGGCCGGCTTGGCGGGGGACACGGAGCCCCGGTAGAAGGCCGAGCCATCTCTGGCCACGGCCCACACCTGGTAGCAGGCCCCGATGGAGATGGAGGTGAAGGGCTGGTCGGTGCCGACGTGCAGCCAGGAAGAGCCCTGGGGATGGGTGAGGTGGGCACTGTGGGAGCCACCAGGGACACCAAGCAGGCCTCCCCCTGCAAGCCCAGGGTCCTGCGCCTGAGCTTGTGCCCCCGGTGGGCAGGGCAGGGGTAGGTGGCGGGGTACAGGCTGCCCAGGCCCAGCCTGATGTCGCTCCCTAGTCAGGCCCCGGACCCCTCCCGCAGGGAAGGTGACAGCTGTGCACCACTGTCCCCGTGTCACCTGGGCCCCCGCTCCTGTGGCAGCCTTGCCCCCTGCACTGCCACCCGTGGGATCTTTCCTGGGCAGGCCCGGGAGCCCTGAACACAGCCTGATTCCGGGAGGAGCCCGCTAGGCCCACGGGGCTCACCGCGGGGTTGAGCTGGGACACGCCCAGGCGGCACAGCACGTCCCCTTTGTCGCTGACCGCCCAGAGTGCGATGCTGTGCCTGCGCCTGTCGTCCGGCGTGCTCTCCGGGATGATGGACACGTCCCCGAGGGCGATGGGGGCCACCTCCAGCCAGGGCCCGCTGGTCACCAGCTTGCATTTCCTGTGCCGGGAGAGACGGCCGAGCCCAGGACCCTGAGCTGAGCGGTGGGAGCTCCCTGATGCGGGAGCTTGGGGGTGCGGGGCCTGGTAGGGCAGGGACGGTGGCCTCCTCCGCACCCAGCCCCCCGCTGGGCCGCGGCCCTGTCCCCGAGCGGAACATGCCAGTGACATTTCTGTTATTTGTTCTACAGAAAGCCGAGCGCGCTGGCAGCCTGCGGGTATTTCCTGGGCTGACATTTACTCTGCCCCCGCCTCCCTCCTCCCGTTCCCCCCCTGGAACCCAGGCTGGGGGAGGGGGCGCACCTGGCCCAGCACCTTCTCCTGACGAAGTCCTTCATGGTTTTGTACCCGTGGTAGGATCTGCAAGAGGAAGACGTGAAACCGTGACCACCTTCTGGAAGCTCCTGGAAAAGAGACACTGGAGCCGTTCCGAGGCGAGGTCAGCGCACCCAGTCCCCATGGAGGCAGGGGTGTGGCCCTGGCCTGGCAGCAAGCCCCGCCTCCCCATGGCCTGTGGCCTCCTGGAGATGGGGTCTCTGTAGGGTGAAGGTTTTTGCTTTGTGCAGTAAGTGGTCGGAGCCCTTCTGAGGTGAGGGTGAGGGCCACTTGAGGGCCTAGCTTGGGTGGAGGGGTGGGCCTTGGGTTAGCCCAGCCCCTGGGACCCGCCCCCCACCAAGGTGTGCTCAGAGGCCAGGAGGCCTGGGCCTGGCTCATGCTCTTTTTTGTCCGTCGTGTTCTGACAGGACATGACTCCAGTACTGGGAGGCCCTGAACACTACGCACTGGCCATGTGGCTGTCACTGCTTCTCTGTTCACCACCTGTCCGAGCACACGGGCCCCCATCGGAGGGGCTCGCACACCCCCGGCCCAGGGCACTGCGTCCTGCCATCCAGCCCTCCTAACTTGGTGTTGCAGGGGTGAGGCCAGGTGTGCAGGGGGAGCTCCTCTGCCACCCCCACCCTGCAGCAGTGGAGGGGCCAGGGGGCCTGGAGTTCCCTGTGGATGAGGGGCGGGGCTCACGTGCCCAGGGAGCTGGCCCAAGAGAGATGCTCACGCAGGGAAGTCGCTGGCGTACTGCCAGCCCTCGGGGTCGGTGCCACCAGCAATGCTGAAGTCCACGGCCCAGTCTGAGACCTGGGGAGGAGGGGTCTGTGAGGACTGAGCCCCCAAGTCCAAGACCAGCCAGAGGCCTGGGGAAGGGCTGCGTCCGTGGG